TGTTCACCACCACCTGCCTGGTGCTTTGCCCTGCCCAGGTTTGTGGCCTGAGGTCCAGGAAGAGCTACAGAAGCAAAGTCTCCCTCTGACCCCCTCCTGCTCTTCTATCTCTCACTCCTCTTCCTCTTTCACAACAGGCCATGGAGACCAGAATTTCCCTTCCAAGGTGGGTCACAGAAATTACAGCCTCTCTCCTCCAAAGCCAACTGTAAAACCATGAAATGTTATGCTAACCTTTCTGTGTAGGAGCTGGTCAAAAGAATGTAGGTCACAAGGCTTGCATTCTAGAAAAGGTGCGGCCCTATACCTGAGAGGAAGGCTGAACACACACGGTCCAAGAAGAATCTGAACAGACAGGCCTTGTGGGGTCCTTGTCAGTCCATTACCACCAGGATCCACCTTCTGCCCAGTCACATAACTGCATGGCTGTCTGTGCTTAACCAAACCCAAGCATGAGTGGGCACTGCTCCCTGAGTCTTTGGCTATTGGTTTCTGAAGGCTCCCTGGACAAGTAAAACGCTGATGACCTAACTGTCATGATTTTCTCTTGTTAGCCTGTCTTTTGTTGCAGTGGGAGGAAAGGGGTCATATTTTTCTGCCCCTACGTGCCAAAATTTGGAAGCAACAAAGAGGTCTTTCAATAGATGAATGGGTAAACCGAGGTATACCCAGACAAAGCAATATTATTCAGCCCTAAAAGGAAGTGCACTGAAGAGTCATGAAGACATGGAGGAAGCGGAAATGCACATACTAGCTGAAAGAAGCCAGGCTGTAAGAATCCAAGGAATGACATTCTATAAAAGGCAAAAAGGCAAACAGCAGAGACAGTGAAAGATCCCTGGCTGCTAGGGCCTGCGGGGAGGGAGGGATGAAAGGGCAGCTCAAGGGGGGTCTTTGGGCAGTGACACTGTTCTGTATGACACACTGAATTGTGCGCAAGGACATTATGCAAGGGTGAGCCCTCCTGTAAATGCTGGACTTCCATCAGCGGTAATATATCAATACTATTTTGTAAGTTGTAACATATTGGAACACACTAATCTAAGATCTCAATACTATGGGAAATTGGTAGAAGGGGTGGTCTGTGGAAAGTCTATTTTGTGTGCAATTTTTCTACCAACCTAAAATTGCTCCTTAAAAAGTCTATTTTTTATTTATTTTTTATGGTAGCAGGATCGAACTCTGGTCCTTGCGCTTGTGAAGCAGGTGGCAGAACCACTGAGCTAAATCCCTGGCAAAAAGTCTATTTTTTAAAGAGAAAAAAAAAAGTCAGTTGTTGAGCCGAACCTCACATTTAATTGGGCATACTATATTTTATCTGGCAACCTCAGCCCCTGGACTCAGGAAAGGGGCAAGCAAAGAATAATGGGATTTGTGTGTTGTGACAGATGGGAAGCAGGGAGAGAGCATCTTAGAGCTGCCACATACCCTTGGGGGGAGGCCTGGGCTCTGTGTTCAGAAATTCTAATCCTTGCATGGAGGATCTTGTTGGCAGTTGTTAGATAAGTGGAGAAGCAAGACTGAGTGTCCAAGAGGGTCTGGCCAAGGACCCCACCAACACCCTCCTTGCCCTCTCAATTTCCGGCCACATCTCTGAGTGCATTATACCTGTGGGTTACAACATGGCCACCAACAAAATCAGTGCTTTAGGAGAAGAAAATGTAATTCCTGGTCCTGGAATCTGATCCTCAGCTCCATCCTGAGCTGAGGTCCCAGGCCACCTGCTACTGGGAAAGTGCCTGTTTAATCAGCAACCTCAAGTCCCTCACCCTGCCTGAACCCTACTAAAGAGAGCTGGACCCCCTCCATCCCACACAGCGCCTGGACACCTGCTCCTCCGGGGACAGGCCCTCCTTTGCTGCCATCACCTTCCCTCTTCATACAGCCTGTGCCCCCCACCCTACCCCCAAACTGTCCTGTCACAGATAATCCCTCACCTTCAAGAAGTCCTTCAGCCTAGACCAACCCATTTCAGTCATATTCATTCTCTCTCCCTCCCTCCCTCCCTCTCTCTCTCTCTCTCTCTTTCTGGTTTTTTGAGACCGGGTCTCACCATGTAGTTCAGACCCGCCTTGAACTCACTATGTAGCCTAGTCTGGCCTCAAATTCACAGTGATCCCTCTGCCTCAGCCTCCCAAGTGCTGGGATTACAGGGATTTTCACGGGTGAATAGGGCGAGGGGGGCTCTAGACTCTCTCCAGGAACCCCAGGACAGAGCACTGCTCTCTTCGCTGATGCCTTTGGTCTCAGCCAGCTCCTGACTTCCCCTTTGCCCAGCACTGTCCCTACCTGAAGGTTTGGTTTCCTGTCCCAAAGGGCTGCTAGTGTCATTTCATCTTTCCAGGGGTCCCTCACTGCCCCTGCTCGACGTCCCCACCCATGCCACCCCAGCTCCAAAGTACATCGGAGGTACAGTGTGGTACAGAGTAAAATCAGCCAGCCTGCCAGGGCAGATGGGTAGCTAAAGGGATTGAGAAGTGAGGAAACCCAAGGAGTTGGGGTCTGGGGACAGGCAGGAGGGAGCCCGACACCCTCTCCTGCAGGGGAGGGTCCTGGTCAATGGCAGAAAATCAAGGACTTGGAATCAGGGGCAAAGAGGTCCCCTGAGCTGGGCTGTCCTGGTCTGGAGAGAGAGGGTGGGCCGACAGAGAGGCCCGGAGAAGCCAGGGGCCTCTTGAAGGAGGTGTGGCCGGGGGAGGAGGGGGGTTGGGAGTGAGCCTGGCGGTGGTGAGCTGGCCTGCCGGAGCTTCAAGGGGAAGGGGGCCTAGGAGTCCGAGAGCGGAGGGGGAAACTGCCGGGCCAGGTGGAGGAAAGGAGTCCAAGACCCCAGACCCCGGCCCAAACCATTCATTATTTCCCCACCCCCACTGCCAGGCAGCTGGAAGGTGGCAGCACTGACCAGGATGTGACCTTGAATTGTTGAGAGGGAGAAAGGGAGAGACTGGAGGTTTGCGCCGCTGAGTCGCGCGGTGGGGGTCGGGTGGAGGTGGGGGATGGCAAGGAGCAGGACGCATAAGAGTGGGAAAGCGCAGGCGCGGGTGTAAGGGGGTCTAGGGGATTGTAGGGCTCCTAGAGGCCTCAGTGCGTGGGCGGAGTATTCGAGGCTGAGTGCGGAGTGGGGGGGGAGTGCAGGGGCAGTGGGGGACCCCTGGGGGGTTGGGGCCGGGCCAACTTGGTCGTGGTGGGCCTGGTGGGAGAGGCCAAATCCAAATGGAGCTGTAGGGGGAGGGGAGAGCAGGACCACGGTGTGCGGCTTTGCGGGATGTGCGGGAACGTGCGGACTGGAGTTGGGCCAAGAGGGGCCTCTGTGTATGTTGCAACGCTAAGGAGCGCGGGCCACGGGGAACTGCACAAGTTGGGGGCGGGGCGGCGCGGTGCCTGGCGCGGTACGGGATGCAGGGCGTGAGGTGGTGCACAGGGAGCGGGGCGGCGCGGCCTCCGGAAGCGAGGGGGCGCTGTGCCAGCGCAGGTGCCGTGCGGGATGGGTGCCGCTCCTTCCTTCAGCTCGACGCGCGACCGCCATGGCGCGGAACGTGCTGTGAGTAGTGTCGCCGCAGGGCCCCTTGCGGGCCCCCGGCAGAGACACAGGGGCTGAATGCAAGGGATGGGAAGAGGTGGAGGAGGGCTCCCGGTGGCCAGGGCACAGGTCCTGTAAATTGAGGTCCTCGCCGTCGTGGGGCTCTGGTGTCGCGGCGTGGTGTCGGGGGCAGGTGATAGCCTGAGCTGGATCTGAGCTGGGGGAGCACTGACAGGGCCTCCCAAGTTTTTGAGAGCCCCTTGCGTTGGTTCCCACGTGGCCCAGGTGTCCGAGTCTCCCCAGAGACTAAGCAGGAAGCACAAGCCCTCGGTGAACCTAGGACAACCCATGAGTGATGGGACTATGCCACTGTGGGCTTTGGGAAGCAATTATGAATATTTGGGGGGTACCCAGTAGACAGCACTTTGGGGCCCCTGCACACATAGCTAAGGAGATAGCTGGCGGGGTGGGGGGCCCTTGAAGACCCTTGGGTGAGTTCCTTCTGCAGACTCTGGGACCAGGACACGAGCGCCCTTGGCCTGGGGAAACTGAGGCTGTGGGCAGGGGCAGGGGGAGCGGGCAAGACCTGGTGAGTTCACATATTCACCCTGAGGCTCTGCAGGGAGCTAACTCAGTGGCTTACAGTGGGATGCTGTGGGTGGGGGGTGAAGCCAGTGGCCCTGAGCTGGGCCCAGCGTTGTTCAGAGCAGTGAAGAGCTCCATTTGAAATTCGTTGAGTTTGAGGTGCTTGTGAAATGTGGGGAGCATCAGGGAAGCCCTCCGGGGACAGTGAGGTTGAGGGAGGGCCTATTGAAAGGGTGTCTCAGGACAAAGGAGGAAAGCAGGGGCAGTGTGATCTTTCCAGAGCTGGAGGCCCCAGGACAAGCCTTGGGATGGGTCATGGTGTGCAGCACAATCAGGGAAGATAGGTCTGAGAGAACATGGATTGTGAGACTGAACCCATGTGGCCTTGGGCACTCTCAACTCAGGCTTATGTTGGGCCCTCCAGTGCAGCACCATCTCAAGGCTTGGAGTCTGGGGGGTTCTGTGAGCCATTGCACCTCCTTTCTCACCATTAAAAGATAGGTCCCCAACCTTGTCTGTCACTTCCAGTGTCACAGTTGGACACAGTGGGAGTATGAGGGCTCCTTGGGCAGTCACAGTTGGCCTGGACCTGTGGGTAAGTTGAGGGTCCCACAGCCTCGCCCCTCTCAAGAGCTTGCTCTTCAGCACCTCTTCCAGCACCCCTCTTTTTTATTATTTTTTTTTCCAGCACCCCTCTTGGGGGGGCATGACTAGGTGTCTGCAGCTTTCTTCTTCTTCTTTTTTTTTGGTACTGGGGATTGAACTCAGGTGCTTGCGCTTGCGCAGCAGGAGGCAAAACCACTGAGCTAAATCCCCGGCCCCTGCACCTTTCTTCTTTACAGTGGAGACTCAGCCAACTGGCTTGGCCACAACATGTTGACTTGGTCACCAGGTAGATGCAGTTCTCCCTTGACTTAGGCACACCTTTTCCTGCAAGTGCTTGTGTCTGAAAGTCCCCAGCAGCTTGGTCCCACCAGGCTGTCTGTCTAACCCCTGGGGCACTGGCTTCTCAGCCTGACCTAGTGTCCTGGCTTTGGCCCTCAGCAACTCTTATCCTTGGTGCTCCCTAGACTCAGGTGGCCCAGGCCCAGACTCCCTGAAGGTGGGTCAGTGTCAGCCTGTGAGTGCCTCCAGCATGGTGCTGGGTAATCCCCAAATCAGGTCACATGCACTGCCCCAGACTGGTCATAAGGCTACGGATGAGATCCTGGACACCCCCCTCGCCCGCCCCCCCGCACTCACCCTTCACGGACCCCAAGGAGGTTGTACCTTCTCAGACTCCACAGATCTTGAGCTTCTGGATGCTGAATGGGGGTACTGTCCCCCAGCCCCAAGGCCTAATGACAAGGTGGGCTAGGAAGACACATAAGACCACTGGAGTGGAGATTTTGTTTGATTTGTCACCAGGAGCACAAGCCTAATGTCTGGGAGGCAGTTGGCCCCCAAGCCCCTTAGCTGCTTATTTGCTTTGAGGGTTTGGGTGCTGGGGAGATGTTGCAGCCAACTTGTGATGTGTAAGATCAAACACAGTTTGTTGAAAGTACCCTCCTCTACAACTCTAAGCCCTTAGCCTGCCTCCCTGAAGGCCAAGGCCAGAAGGGCCCCACTGTGGTGCTCCCCCACTCCTGAGCAGCAGGGGTGGCCATCCTCAGGTGTGCTGTCCTGTAGGGAATTAGCATTTCCAGGTTGAATCCTTCCTTCACCCTGTTTGTGGGGGACATTCTTGGCTTCTTTTTTGTTTTGCACTGTTAGGGATCAAATTCAGGGCTTCATGTTCGCTAAACACTATACCACCGAGCTACACTCCCAAGCCCTAAATATCGGCTTCTGCTTCTCTAGTTCCTTTCTGTTTGTTCTTTGGCCCTGCTGTAGACCATGGGGGCCACCAGCCCCTTTTTCCCAAGTCGAAGCTAGGGGATGAGAGACCTGACTGCCACACTGGGCAGACTGAGGTGGGGATGAGCTGTGGGATCTGCATGCCCTGGGTTAGTGACCTGTGCATAGCTGTCCTGCCTGCCCTGGCCCTGCTAATGTGGTGCACAGTGGGGCCTACCAGTTACCTCAGAGCCTGCTGTGTTGATACATAACATGAACCAAGTCTCTCCTGAGCAGGTATCCCTTGTACCAGCTGGGTGGCCCCCAGCTCCGAGTATTTCGAACCAACTTCTTCATTAAGCTGGTACGGCCTGGTGTGGCTCAGCCTGAAGACACGGTGCAGTTCCGGATCCCCATGGAGTAAGCCCCAAAGGAATCTGGGCTGAGAGCACTCTGCGGGTGCTGTGGGTCCCTGGCACCCAGGGTCAGGCTCTTCCTGCCTGGGAAGACCTGGGGTGGCTCTGCTTAGCAGGCAGCAGTGAAGGCCTGTGTTTGCAGAGCTGAGGAGAGCAAGGGGAGCGAGCATGCTCTGGCAGGCTTCCTGCTGGCCTCCACCTGGGAGGCTTAACTGAGAACCTGAGATGTGGGCTCACTTCCTTGCTCTGGTCTTTGTTGAATTCTTGCCTTAGTCCTCTTCCCAGGAAAGGCATCCCAAGAGGCTGGGTTGGGAGCCTGCTGTGATTCGCAGAACTGCTCATCTTGGCTTCTATCGTACTTTGCTTCACTCAGCTGGCTGGGTTTGACAGCTGCTTCACCTTTAGGGAAATACATAGCCCCCCGACTAGAACTGTTGGTCAGGACTGGATCAGACTGGTGGGGTGGCAGCACATGTTTCTAAGGGTGTTGAGCATCAGTTTTGTCCAGCTTCCTGACAAGGACAGAAGGGGCCTTAAAGCTGAGCTCACAGTCACAGGCAAGGTCCAGCTGAAAGGACCTGCAAGCTCAAGGCAGGCTGGGAGTCTGGCAGCTCTTTAAGGCAGTCACATCTCTTGTGCAAGCCCAGCTGGTCCCTGGAGGTTGAGGACCAGTGGAGAGGGGATGGCATGGACCAAGTTGATAGAGCTGTATTCTGAGTGCCTGGGCCTTGGTCCCTGTCACCCTAATCCTGAGTGAGGAGGACAAAACTGGGGGTCCAGTGGTCAATAGTGCTGGTGTCTTTGGCCCAGCTTGGCCTCAGCCTGATGTAGCCGAGCCCTGTTCAGACTTCCCTTTCTTTCTCATTCATCCAGGATGACCAGGGTGGACCTCAGGAATTATCTTGAGCGCATTTACAACGTACCTGTGGCTGCTGTGCGTACGCGGGTGCAGCACGGTGAGTGGCTGCACCCTCCTGTCTACATGATAGTGCTCATTCAGTACCAGGTCACAGCCTCAGGGTCAGTCATTGTAATCTGACTTGGTACAGGAGGCAACTGAGGCACAAGGGGCTTGGGGTGACTTGCTAGGGTCACACGGTACTCTGGTGGCAGATCTGACACCATGGTTTCCCTTTGGTGCTACCCCCAGCCTACCACAGCACAGCTCCCCAAGAGGATCCCACTGCAACCCTCAGCAGCAGCGCACTGTGTTTCCTGGAAACCTCACCTCACCCCTTGGCTAGTGCCACCAGGTGCTCATATTCCATTCCATGCTGTGAGCCTGCCGACCTCGCTGACCTCCAGCCAGAGGTGGCAAAGCCAAGCACATCTGTTTGGTTTTAGTGCCTTCCCAAGAAAGTGCCTATCAAATTCATTTACATTTTCAACAGAGAACAAAGTGTTAAATTCATTTTAATGTTTTAAAATCTTTTACTTTTGTTTTCAAAGGTTATTTTTATTTAAACAGACCCATTTCGGTGGCACTGGCTGGTAGGTCTGAGCTGCTTCTGGTGCTTGGCCTCCTGTGACTTGGGGCAGCCACCATACCTCCTGTCTGGAAAATAGTTCTTGGGCTAGTGGGGCTGGATCTGTGTTGGGACCTGGAAGTAAAGGTCTGCTTCCTCCCTGCAGGCTCCAATAGGCAGAGGGACTATAGGAATGTGAGGATCAAGAAGCCAGACTACAAAGTGGCCTATGTTCAGCTGGTGAGTGAGCCCCTTTGAAACCTGACCTCCCACTGTCAGTTGTGCCTTGGGGCTGTTGGTAGCCACCATGCCAGGAGAGCAGAGCCCAGGGCCCATCATGGAGCAGACCAGGCCCCACATAGTGTCTCCTGGGCCCCCACAGAACATAGTTGGTTAGCACATATGGACAGTACATAGGGACCTGCTGTTCTGAGCAGTTCTCAGATCTGAACATTCCATATGAAAGGCAGATCCACTGCAGGTTATGGTGGACATCAAAGGCCACCTGTCCCTTGAGGGCCTGCCCTGGGACAGGTTGCAGGCCTGGAGACAGGTGAATGCCGCTGAAGATACACTGTGCCCTCCTAGGAGCCTGGGTGCCAGAGCTGGTGTGGGATGGCCTGGGGTCTGGGGCCCTGGTGGCACAGTCTTGCATTCTCCTCTCCCCCTTCCTGGGTCCTGTCCAGCTCTAAGTCTGGATTCCATGAGCATGTGATAGCAGCGCCTGAGTTACTTTATCAAGTGTCCTGGCCAGGGGCCTCCAAGAAGGCACCTCCACCGCGTGTTCCCTGAGGCACAGACCTAGGAGAAAGGAGCCCATGTGTTCAGACAGGCTTTCTCTCCTTCCTGAGAGTGCTCAGGACCAGGACAAGCAGTAGCCACGCCCGGCGGCCCTCAGTCTCCAGGCAGAATCCCCTCTGACCTCAGTGGCTGGCCTTGGACTGCAGGGCCTCTGTGGGAATCCTGCAGGGCCTATTCACCACTCCCCCACTGCTTAAAACCGGCAAAAGGAGGGGGGCTTCCTCCAGTTCCTTCAGTTTTGGTGTAAACAGCTCACCAGGGAGCCCCGGGGTGGGGGGACACTGACCACTAGATGGCAGTAATGCTACTAGAAACCCTCCTCCCACTGGGACCTAGCAGGACCCAGCCCTGAGTTGGAAGGCAGTTTCCCTCAAAGAGTAAGACAGCTTTCCCGAAGAACAGCCACATTTGTTCTAAACAGGGTCCCGTAATCACTTAGCCTAATATTTGCTATGTATAAAACCAGGCAATTCAGGTGGAGAGAGCAGCCACCAGCCTTATAAAGACCTGTGTGTGCTGGTGTTGAAACGCCCCATCTGTCTCTGTCATGGCTGCGGGGCGATGTCCCATATGCTGGCATTCGCTACGAGTCACTTGGAGACAGCTATGGTTACAAGTGGCTTTTGAGTCATCTGAGCCCCGTTTCTCCCCCAGCCCCACCTCACCCTGAAAGCTGAACTCTCGGCAATCCTTAGATCCATGTCTGCAGCTGCCGCCTGCCGTCTTTCTCTGAAATCCAGGCTGCCGGAGACAGGCAGGGCAGCTGTGGCCAGCATGTCCCCGTCAGCATGGCTCCTCCTGTCCCAGAATTAAAATTTGTAACGCCACCCCACCAATCTTTGCACAGCCTAGAAACTGGGTAGTGGGTCTCCATCCCCCCCAAGGACCCAAGGACCCTCAGAGGCCCCTTCTGTCTGTATCTGCTGCCAAGACCCTCCTTTTGGCCCCATGGGGTGGGGGTGGGTGCTTCTAATAACAACCCATTGTGCAGCACACGCAGGGTCAGCCAGAGACACAAATTAAATGATGGGATTTATTGTGAGTTGGCGGCAGTGGAAAGGCACAGCCCACATGGTGGGGGTCCCACTTTTTCCTCTGACAACCTGATAAACATCTCTGGCCCCAGGTCCGAGAGGGAGTAGGAGCAAGTCCTCAGTTACCCACAGAACAAAAAGAGCATTGACCATGTATACACAGAGCCGCATTTGAGTGAGTGGTGCACACGAGCCATGAGCTTGCTGCTCCAGAACAAATGCTTGGGCAGCAAGGGGCAGGCAAGTCCTGGCCCAGACAGTGGCCAAGAGCTCCAGGATTACCGGAGGGGGGCTGGCTTTTTCAGCTCTCCTTGTGACCTTTTTCTCTCCTGGTCTCTGCCACTGATAACTCCTTCCTCTCTTTGGAAGGTGAAAGGATTTTGTTCTTTAAAGTGTAGATTTCTCTAAACAAGGAAAATCCCCCAGGGAGCCATCCGGCACCTACAGATACCTCTGGTCTCCTGGTGAAGCGGGCCATTTCCCTAACAGCTGCCTGTTTCTTCACAAGCCACTGTATGTGGTCATCTTTGTGTCTGTGTTTTTAAATGTCACTTTGGGTTTCCCCTGCTGCAGAAACTAGCAGAGTCACCTCAAGATATCAAACACAAATCCCCCTTCTAGCCAGGCAGCCCTGCTTGTAAACTATTGTCTGTCTGTCAGTACTTTTCAAAAGGAAAAAAGGAGTCTTGAGATATGTAAGATAATCTCTGGCAGCCTGGCTCTTGGCCTTTTATCTAGCTCCTGCACCCTGCTCTATGTGACCAGAACTTAACAAACTCTGCATTCTCAGGGTGGGATCTGGGACTTATGTCCTGTTTCAGATCAAGCTTGGCTCCCTGCCGAAGCCCAGATTTCCTTAGGAAGAAATGAGGGTCTCCTAGAGCCCAAGTGTACCCCACTGACTTTGCTCATTAAAGTGCTGCAGATTCAGTGCGGTCTTCAGCACTCCTTTAACTGGTAGCTGGAGGCCAGGTGCTAGCTTCCCCTCCTGCTTTCCTGTCTGTTGCCCCTTATCTTGGAGCTGCTTAGTGTAGTCATCCAGGCAGTACAGCCCCTCGTATCTGCTTAGGCTCCACACCATGGTCCCCCTCCTCACCAAGGGCTTGCACTGGTGCCTGACCCACGTGCTTGGGGGCCTGGGCTGGGACTTGGCCATGCTGAAACATTCCGAACTTCTAGTGAAAGACGTAAAACCAGTTAATTTGCAAAGCCCGACTTGATTTATAGACTGCTGCATATGTAGGTTTCTGTGTGCGTTACATGTGTTTTATTTGCCAAGCTCCGAGCCTGGAGGAAGGCTGGCCTTTAATGTGGGTGAAGGCCTTTAGGTACTTTGGATGGAAAAAGCTTTAGCGTGGCACCAGACGTCACTTAATGTCCTGTTTTTCTGTGCCTAGTTCCTGCCCCTCAGTTCAACCAGGCTGCCGCCCTGGTGAATAGGCCTTTGCTGGGCTACTTCTAATGAGCTGGGGGCTGGTGAGACACCACTGTAAAGAGATAATGTCCATGAAAAGAAGCATTGTCTCGGGGTAATGGCTTCCCGCTGCTAGATAAGAGCAGGAGGCCCCACAGCACAGAGATGTTTATTTTCCCGGCAGGGACCCTGCACTATAGACAATGGCAGCTCATCCCTCCCACTGTGAGGGTCGAGGGTCACGGTCCTTGAGCAATTGAATACGGCCTGAAGACTAGAGCACTGATCTGAGTTGTTTCCTCCCCAGGCCCATGGTCAGACCTTCACCTTCCCAGACCTGTTTCCCGAGACAGAGCCCAGCCTAACCGATAAGGAACTACAGAGCCAGAGCGAGTTCCTGGAAGATGTGAAGCAGAGGCAGAGCAGCGACCCCCGACGTGGTGGTGTCTCAGACTGGTTTGGCCTATGACAGCCACAGGCAGGGACAGATGGACACAGGCCCCAGTGGGTAGAGCAGTTCTAACAATCCAAATAAAACCCCTGCCCTGGGAAAAAGAACCGGATGTCTTGTACGCTTCTGTTCTGGAGGTCACTGAGTCTCAGCCACGTGTGCCCAAAGTATACGTCCTGGCCCTGGAGGACTGAGGAGGAGCTAGCTGGCCATGCGTCATGTGGTCGCATGGGGCACGAGGCGTGGGCTTCTCTGGCCTCACCCAAGGCCTCACAACTTGAAGATGACACCAGCACACATACTGAAGAGATAGGAAGAGGTGAGGACAACCTCATGCAGCCTGCGGCTCTTTGCTACATGAGTGTCCACACTTGGAGCTTGAGCTCAGGGTGTTGGGAGGAGAGACAGTGTAAGTGTGAGCATAGAGGCACAGGGAAGAACCCTAGGTCAGCAGCCCTTGAGGACCAGGGAGGGTACCCCTTTCGGGCTTATGGTTTCCAGTTTGGCACAATTGACTTGAAGTACCTGAGTGGGTGTCAGGCAGAGAGAGGAGCAGAAGGAGGAGAGGTGGCCTATCCACAGAGAAGCTTCCTGGCAGTTGGGCAAGGAGACGGGAGGACAGGTCTGCTAGCTCCCTGACTGGAGTGGGGATGGGCAGCCAATAAACCCCAAGCTGCAGTTTTATGACTTTCACAGGTCTGTGGGGATGCACAGGTGGGAAAAGGAGAGGGGGTGTGAGAGTCCCTGTGGGGATGCCGGATGGCCCCTAGTGCCCCTTGCTTTGGGCCAGTCATGTTGGCAGAACAGAATGGAAGGCACTCTCCTAGGGCTGTCTGGAGCCTGCAGTAAAGCCCTGCTGTTTATTGTGGGCACCCTACCCCAGTCCTACCACCATCCCTGCACACATCCTCTGGGAGCAGGTAGGGAGTACAGGGTCCCTTGTCCCTTTGCTGGGCTTATTCACTAAAGGCTAGCTTGTCATCTCATTTCTGCTGGGCAGCACCTGAGACTCTGATCTGGTCATGCTCTTGAGTGTTGATTCATCACGCCTTCTCACAGAGCCCAGAGCTGCTAGCCCCTCCCAGGCCCTGGCCTGACAGCCTAGGAGCCTTGCTTCTCGAAAGGGCCTGAGGCCCTGGGTCTCTCCATAGTGAAGTCACGGCATCCACAGCATAGATCCCAAAGGCCCCTTGGCTCAGGAAGCTCAGAGAGAACCCCTTCCCACCTGTGTACTTTAGAAGTTTGTGGTTAGGCCAGGGTCTACGGTATAGATTGGGTAGAGGAGTGGTCTGTGCATCCAGTTAACCCTCATAGTCCCTGCCTTGGCCATAGTGGAGCAGGACCTTTAGGGTGGGTGGACAGCCCCCTGCACACATGGCCCCACTGCCTGCAGCTGTGCCCTGCCTGCAGCTTTGACCTCACACTCTGTATCTGGCCTCTGTCTCAGAG